TGACTTATATTCAAGTCATTAATGATATGCATTAATGATATGTATACTAGAGTTATTACTTGTGCTCGAACTGAAGGAGGATTGACCAAATATTTTCCTATTTCTGTTGGATAACATCAGGGATCGACTTTAAGCACATACCTTTTTTGCTTTAGTTTTGGATTGTCTTATCGAACATTTATAGGAGGATGTACCTTGGTATATGCTTTTTGCTGATGATATACTTCTCATGGATAAGATGAGAGAAAAAATCCAGGAAAAAATTGAATTATGGAGGTCTACATTGGAGTCTAAAGGCCTTCATTTGAGTAGAACTAAAACTGAATACATGGAATGTAATTTTAGTAGTAGTGGCTCTAGTGACAGAAGTGTAACTTTGGGTGATTCAATTATTAAAAGGTGTGAACGATTTAGATATCTCGGGTCTGTTGTTCAAAGCGATGGTGATATAGATGGGGATGTTAATGGTAGAATTCAAGTTAGTTGGTTGAAGTGGAGGAATGCTCCGGGCCTTTTGTGTGATAGAAAAGTATCACTTAGACTGAAAGGAAAATTTTATAAGACGGTGGTGAGAACTGCAATGCTCTATGGCGTTGAATGTTGGCCTTTAAAAGAGAAGCAAAATATTTTGTTAAGTGTTCCCGAGATGAGAATGATTAGGTGGATGAGTGGCTTTACACTTAGAGACAAAATGCGAAATGAATATATCCGTGATTGGGTTGGTGTAGCTCCTGTGACGAACAAAATTAGAGAAAGTCATCTTAGATGGTTTGGTCACATTAAGCGTCGACCATCAGATGATCTGATTCGGAGAGTAGATGTTTTAGATTCGACTTATGTTAAGAAAGGGAGAGTAAACCTAGGAAAACTTGGGCTTATTGTATAAAAAATGATGTTAATTTATTAAAACTAAATGAAAATACGACACTAAATAGGACGCAATGGAGAAAAAGGATTCATGTAGCCGACCCCACGTAGTGGGATTAAGGCTTTGTTGTTATTGTTGTGACTAATGGCTCCAATGTTTCAACGTTCAAGAGGATCTTCTATAAGAAATTTTTATGATTCTGCGAAGGAAGGCATTTTTCTTCCCTTATTTTTTCTCAAGTGGGTGGCGTTCCCATTATCTATTCTTCTTCATGATGGATTTCTCTTAAAGATGGACTTCACTTCTTTAGCATTATAGTAAAAGACCATCTAGTTTTACAAAACCTAAGTTCTCAAAAGTAGTTCTTTAGACTCGAGGAAAGTTGTTGACAAACCAACATGCATCGTCACAAATTATGCCATATATCTTTTCATTTTATTATTTTCCATTTTTTATTTCTGTTCATGTTTATATTTGCAACATTTGTTTGTCTTTATGTTTATTGTTTTAGGTTACCATATCCTTTTCACGCTAGGTTTTTGATTTTTCCATAATAAAAATATAAGAGAATGCTTTAGTAATGTATGAAAAATTTGAAGATTTAACTCTTCCTACTTCCCTTTAGCTTCGGTTAACCCCTTCCTCTTCCCTCTTACTTTCTCTGCTCCAAGGCTTTAACTCTTCCTGAGGGCTTCATCCTCTGCTCCAAGGCTTTTGCAAGTACCATAATTCTCTATTAGTTGATTTATTATTTAAAAGCTTTCAATCAATAATTTTTCTTCTCTATACTTTTGCCATTGTCGTTATCAGTGTTGTTTCATTACTGTACATCAATTGCACGTTAATACAATATAAAATAATCAGTAAGAACATAAAATTCAAATTAATGCATATTATGTTATTAATATATAAAAAAATATATTTAATTACTTTCAATAAGAGTTTTGAATTTGAATCACTAGGCAGATATATTTTTTATGATTTTTGGCCTTTATAGACTTAGCAAATCTAATTCTTGGAAATCTCATACAATTATAAATTTTGTTGCTTTCCTGTTGGCAATTATTTGTATTCAGAACGATCTCATAAATAACTTTTGGGTCGTGCATGATATAAATAAATGCATACCTAGGTAATAAATATAAACAAATACGTAGGTTTTTATATGTAATATTTTTTTTATATAATTTATAGAGGCAAAGAAGAATGAAAATATTCATGTACATACTATATATATTGGTTAAACTTTTAGAATAAAGTAAATTTCCTTCAATAAATTTATCTTGATTAGTTTCAAAATCAATTAAAAAATTTCCTTGTTTCTTACTAAACTAAAACTTGGCGCAGATTTTGGAAAAAATATTTCCAAAGTATTTTTATTATTGAATATTCATTAAGATTGAATTAGACAAACACTAATACGATTAAAAATATACATGGCCTAACTCTGCATGTCCATATTTTATTTTAAACAATAAACATAGTATGCTTTTTATTTTTATATTATTATTATTTGAAATATTGTTTGTCATTATACTATTTTGATATATGTGCATTTAAAAATATTATTCTATTGTCATTATTCTATAAGGTTACATTCTAAGTTAACTACTCTAGTACAATAGTTTTTTGGTCTAATATTTGAATATATAATTAGCCCATATTCAAATAATTTGTTGTAAGCTGTTTTATCTAAGAAAAAATTATTTATATATTTTATTAAATAGTAAATAGTAGCAGGAGTAAGATCACATTGATGTAAAAATTAATAGTACAATAATATTTGTTTAATTATATTTGAGTGGCAAAGTAGCAATACTGAAGTTTTGAAGGAAAACTATGAAAGTGAGAATAGTAAGCATAAGCACAAGGTCATTTTATATTGTAAGTTTAGATGACAATCTATTAAACTGATTATAAATTTATCTAAATGTTAGTTTAAGTACACTTAAATGATCCGAGTATAATATATATTTAGTTTTTTTTTTTTGGGCATGTTGCATGTATAATTTTTGTATTTTTTGTTTTGAACAAAAATATATTGTTTGAGTATCAAAAATTGATAATGGTCCCATATTCTGTGAAATTATTCTTGATGATGATAATGTAGTCATTTATATGTTCTTCCTCATTTATAGAAGACAACTTTAGATGGTATTCAATGTTTGGATGAAATCTTGTTGTTTTCTAAATTTGACAATTTCAGATTTTTTGAATTATTATTTTAATATTTGGTTTTGCTTAAAGTTTTGGTTATTATATTTTAGGAATTTTGATTGTAATATAAATTTATTATGTTCTGAATCATTTAAATAGTATCATGTACATCTAAATACTTCTGAAGTAAAATAAAAAATTGATAGAAGTATATAAAATAATTTATGAATTTATTATGAGCTATATATATATATTTTGGAAAAGGCAAAATTCATTGATAAAAAAAAGAGGATACAAAGATTTTATTGAGTGGGTACAAAGATCCCACTTCAAAGATCCCACTCACAAGGATTACAAACGTATTCCCCAAAAATAAACAACTCCTAATCATGGTGGGTGTAGTCAATGGATATATCGTTTCCCCTTCCCCTAGATCTAGGGAGGGAGTCCAGCAACATACTGATATGTGAGCTTCCGCCTGAAACAATGATACTGTTATCCTGAGAGTTACTAAGATCTGACATTCCTTTCTTCTTCTCCCTAGATTTGTAAACCTGCTAATCATGTGTCAGAGGTTGTCCCGTGTGAACAATAGGTGGATCTTCGATGGAGGTAAATTGTTGATCTGACTCAGCCTGCAGCACACCTCGATCCTGACACTCCATAATAACTTTAGTACCCTCTTCTCTCGCAATAGGTAGATCCAAGACACTTCGGCTAGCATATGCTCCAACAAAATTCATAGAATTTATAATTTGAGGAAGAGCTGCTTCAACAACAGTAGACGGAAACTGCTTATAATCTGAGGAAGAGCTGCCTCAACAACAGTAGACGGAAACTGTTGGTCTGGTTGATGAGGAGTAGCCTAATGAGTCAAATGCTCATTCAACATTTCTGGAAGATTAACAGTGTCTGCTATATTTTCCTCCACATAGATGATGTTAGGACCTATCAATCTCAAATATGGTAAAACCTGAAGCATTTGACAGGGGTGTAACCAAACAGTCTACAGTGATTGCAGTAGTAGAGTCTTTATTCTGCTATAATTGGCTGCCAATACCCATTGTGGGTAGTACCAAGCCATATTTCGTCCACCTCAGTATATATATATATATATATATTTATATGGAATATTAAAGAGTACTTGGACAATCTTTATTTGCTTTTTGGTGCAAGTTGATTGAAAAAAGAAAGGGAATGCAAGTAAAATGTAATTGAAGTAAAAATAGTTAACATTTCAAAATGATTCTATGGTGAGGTATTAAAAACATGGAGATTTTCAAATATAATGAAACTCTTAATTAAGATGCCATTAGAAAATTGTGTGAGGGTCACTATTTAATGTGGGGGATAACTTTTTGTGTATTTCATCTAGCATGTTCTACGTAAGATACATTCATTAAACAATTTGTTTTGTTTTGACTTGGAACTTTAATTGTTCTTTACACCGTTAGAATTAAAGATTAATATTTAATATTGGTCGAAGCTGTGGAACGGTTTATTTTTTTAAAAAAAGTTAAAAATTATGACCGTAGTATAATGAATTCACATGCCACTTTTTAAATAGTAGCATAGATGACTTATCCCTCACATAGTGTCGGTTATATGACTGGTTCATTCATTTTGTTGAATACTGCAAGTGATGCTAATCTTGTTTCCATTATTACATATTTTCATAACTTGTATCTAGATTTTCTCTGGTTCATTTCCTTACTTTTTTCTACTAACTTGTTGCATCTTTTTCTCACCATAGTGCCACATTCACATCGTTGAAGTTAAAATTTTACAACTTTAATCTTTATTAGTTCTACTTTGTTAGCCGGTTTGCTTGGTGGATGATTTGTTCTTCAAATATATCAATTTCAATATTCTAGCTTATTTTATTGTCATAGTTTGATTTTATTTGCTGATGCTGATTTCTTAATATCATTAGATAATTATTGATAATTTAAACCTCTTACATTGCATCTGCTAGGTTAAAAGCTGGTGGTGGCAGGGCTAATGGAGATAGAACGAGGAAGCTGCACAATCGTGACAGACCCTCTAGGGCAGTTCCTGCTCCAGAGGCTAACGCTGAGGTCCAAGCAAACCTTGATGTACGATATGCTGAACTTTTATCTCCTACAGCTCTACCTTCATCTTGTTACCTCGGAACTTCACTGCTGCACATCTTATCAAGCATGCTAAGCTTCTGCTCGTCTTTTTTTGTTTTTGCATTGTACGGTCTTACTGGACATTTACAGGAGTATGTACCTTTGTGTATGTTTTTTTGCTAATAATATCGTTATTTTGGATAAGACGAGAGAAAAAGCCCAAGAAAATCTTGAATTATGGAGATCTACATTGGAGTCTAAAGGTCTTCATTTGAGTATAACTAAAACTGAATACATGGAATGTAATTTTAGTAGTAGTAGCTCTGGTGACAGAAGTGTAACTTTGAGTGATCAAATTATTAAAAGGTGTGAACGATTTAGATATCTCAGGTCTGTTGTTCAAAGCGATGGTGATATAGATGGGGATGTTAATGGTATAATTCAAGTTAGTTGGTTGAAGTGGAGGAATGCTTCGGGCCTTTTATGTGATAGAAATGTACCGCTTAGACTGAAAGGAAAATTTTATAAGACGGTGGTGAGACCTGCAATGCTCTATGGCGTTGAATATTGGCCTTTAAAAGAGAAGCATAATACTAATTTAAGTGTTGTCGAGATGAGAATGATTAGGTGGATGAGTGACTTTACACTTAAAGACAAAATGCGAAATGATTATATCCGTGATAGGATTGGTGTAGCTCCTGTGACGGACAAATTTACAGTACGTGTCTACCTTTTATTCGGGAGCTTGAAAGCTTGCAGGTCAGTGCTATCGCTTGTGTACATGTGATTGGTGGTAGCCAAAATCATCTGTATTGTGGATCTCATTATACCAGATACAGTTTGCCTTATTAAAGATGATCAGATGAACCCATCAAAGCAAATTTTCTACTATTAAAGACATGCCTAGCTGTTTGTGTACTAGGAGGCTTGATTATTGTCACATTAACTTGATTGTGTCGAGCTCCCTCTGATGGCAGTTTTGGATGAGTCAATCGAGTTGAGCACTTACAGATACTTCATCCTGGGTTAGGATTTGGAATAGAAGGAGAAAGGTTTATACGTCCAAAAAATATTTTATTCATGTTATATATTGATTTATATGGATTGATGTGCATATATTTATGAGACCATGGTATTGGAATAGGAAAGTCATTGCAAATTCACTGGAGGAGTTCCCCTAAGTTATCCTCATAAAATGTTGTGAAGCCAACATATTTTCAAACGGAAAACCCATGAATATTTGTTAATTGAGCTGCAGAACTAGGAAGTATGAAGAAGGTTGCTGAAATACCAACCTTCGGAGTTTAACAATTCAACATACGACAAATCTTGCACTGCTACTAGTTCTTATGAAAAAATTTGGCTCTAGTAGGATAGGAGACAGCGTCAGCTTGCATGAATAGGAGAAGGTGTTGAAAGACATAATCAGAGGGCAACATTAGAAGGAATAAAATCCAAGATCCAAATTCAGCTGCAGAAATTTTATGCATGTTAGTTATGTAAGAAACAAATTATAACTGATTCAACTAGTTATAAAAATTTTAATGACAATTTTAATGTTTAAATCTAAAATCCGAAGCCAGCTAATTATAATTCAAAATTTTAACTCAAAATTTTAAAGTTTAAATATAAAATCCAAAGCTTTTGTAGGGAATAGGGAAATTGGACCAAAAACTAAAGAAGTATGCTACATTTTTTGTTTTGTTGGAGAAATATGCTCGGTAATTTCATTTAGACCACAATACCCCCACTTTTGAACCACAAACTACTTTTTTAAAGTTCAACGCATCTGGCATTAGTTCAGACAAGGTTTAAACAAGGATTGAACCATATTCTAGCAAGTTGGGCTGTCAAAACGGCTCGTTGTTCGCGAAAAGCTCGTGTTCGGCTCGTTAATTTCGTTCGATAAGTTAACGAGCCG